CTAATTAATGAATTTATAATACTCTGTAGATAGATTGATTCATAACAGTTAATAAATATGCTCTAATTAATGTATTCACTTGTACACGATGTATATCAGGTAAACACGAGCAGCGGCCATGTTGGAACTAACTAACTAAACATTTCAACTTGCATATATAGCAAACAATAATCGTTCTAGAACATTCCCGAACATTTTCGAATATTCTAGAAATACATCACATTTCCCGAAACGAATGCGTCATCAACTTGATGGCGCCCCGATGTCTCTCTTGATTTCTAAAATATTTGCGACAGTATTCTCCATTCACGTACCCATTGGACTAACTTGTCGATTGTTTGAGGGCAAGTGGGTATGATGTATATTCGAGTTCTTATTTGTAATTTGCATGCCATATAAAGTGCAACTAAATCATTAAGCTCACTGATCGGAATTTGAGTAGCAGATCAAATAACAGGGACTTCAATAGTACTGACAAAGAAAAATAGTCTTCTTCCCATGAATATTAAACCAAAGATTATACAGTCTGGTGCACTGCAAATGAAATGAATAAATTCATTATTTCTTAGGTTGGTGACTGCAGGGAAAAATCCTGAAACCCGTCCATTTTATATTTTAAAATTATATCATACTATGTAAAAATTTCATCCCTAAATTAATACTCTTAGAGTAAGAGGGGCAACCCCTACATTTTTAAATAGGAAGTAGGAGATTATCATTTGAAAGGTCTTCTAATTCTAGTCCTATATCTGACATTTAGGGATGATTCCTGATGGATAATAAACAATAATCCATGGGAATTCACCACAATTCTTTTTTCGCTAGTTGTTCACAACCTCCATCTTTTATTTATAGAATCGTTTATACTATTAGTTCAAAGGAAACGGGCATAGCAATATGTATACCGTTGCTAAATTTTGAGATCTCAGAATTATTTTTATGCTCGTTGTGTATTTAGATGGGCTAATGAATCAAAACTAAATCCCATTTAATAGGTCTGTTGAGAAATTAATAATGACCGGATCTGGAATGCACGGAACACGGTTCTGGATTAATGTCTGTTCAGCGTGAAAAGTGTTTCGTGAAATACAAAATCATGCTTTCATAAGGACAAGAAGAAGCACAACCAAGGAGCGAACTAAGATGGAGTTTACTTTAAAAGAATGGGGGCGACATCTAACGGAGGAATGTTACAACACCAACTACAGAGTGTTTAAATTTCTACGTTACCAATTTCGGTAAGACCTCTGAACATCTTGACATCCTCGGCTACGCAATGAGCCACAGCGTATTCTGCTGGTGCTTCAAACTAATCTTAAGATTTTTAACACAAAAGTGTGCCCTTTGCGTTCCAGAGTAATGTGCCATAAACAGAGCCAAACGATTTATTTGCACTACCACAGGTTTTCTTCGTGGTAGTTTCTGTATCCGATATACAGGGTGTTTTTTAAAGATGGGAAAGTACACACCTAGCATAACGCAATGTAAAGGCGTGGAGTTATTTAAAATGGACCATAGGGAAATTTACATTGCGCCAATTATTCTCAAATCTTGGCCTTGCGCTTAGTTATTTCACTGACAGATCTCGATCTGATTCTCAAACTGCATCAACTTAGCAGCAACATGTATTCCGCCGCTGGAAAAGCTGTTCATGTAGTACAATTTGTATAACAGTATATATATAGCATTAACTATGTATAACAGTTTTGAAACGGATTAATTTATAACAGTAATTATTATTTATTACTCACAATTTATCAATACATTTAACATAACACGAGCGGCAGCTTAATACTTCACTTGGCATCGTAGTTAAAACTAACTCTAAACACAATGCGATTTGCTCATGTAGCAAACGCGAACACTCCTGAACGTTCATGAATATTCTAGAACAAACACGTCATATTTCCCGGAAAAATGAGTCACATCCGCCTTAGATTCTTATCACCGATGACTGATCTTTCATGGTGCCTCGACGTCTATCGAGATTTCTAGAATATTCGTTACAATAGTTTTACTAAACTTACACGGTATAAAGCTCTAGATAGTTCTTCATTAATTTTGTCTTAGTGATTACGGATGCTTTAATGCGTGGTCTATCGGCAGGGAAATAAGTTAAGTGCGTAGGCATGCTAATGATTCCACGCTAAAAATTTATTCAGAACGAAGACAAGAGAGCGTGAATCCTCCCAATGCGTTGCTTTGAAATACAAAAAGATATGGTCGAGTAAAACGTGTTTAGTCGTATCTACTGTTGGAAAACTACACGTGCTTATTAATCAATACGAAATGTTAAGGCGAACCCCGTTATTGACGTGGCCGTTTTATTTTTGTACAAATCCGCGGTTTTAAATTCTCGTATTGTTGAAGACATAAATGTACGAAAACGGTGAAAACAGGTAGACTCATCCGTGCATAAAGAAAATCTAGGGAGAATAGCCGCAAACATATTTTCCGGCGGGATCCTTTACGAGTGTATGAGAAAGATGGTAGACGTGGAAATTGTTTTTCCCGGTGGATTGGTCCACGTGCGGCGTAATACTAAGATATGGCCAATAGCAGGTAGTTTTATATCCTGTACCGATGTTGCATATATAAGGGATCTCTCAATATTTTAGTACCTTGCCTCTTGAAATACACGACCTTCAAAACAAGACCTGAACGAACGAACTATATGAAAATTACTTTTCCGTCTCGACTTGTCGATACGCCATAAAAATGAAAATTAAATTAACAAGTAGGTTAAGTGCGGATTTGCTTATTAAAATTTATGATAAAGATATTATTCCCAATCCTTTGTCTGATTGCGACGGCAGGTAACATATTACACGTGTGTCTGTAACTATCATCAAATTTAACAGTTTCTTTTGAGTAGCTGTTCTTGTTCACCCTGAAACTTTCTGGTGAATCCGTGTTTGAGTCGGAAAATTCTTCGAACCGCGCTCGCCGTTATTACAGTCATCCGATCACTAACTCAACGTCCAATAGCAAACTACATAACTATAAAGGACTAATGTATGGTAATTTTGAAACTACCTTGTTTCAGGTGTGGAAAACACATGGATTTGTTGGGACACGGCCCCTCCTGGCAGCAGTTGTGAAACTAACGTTGCATATAACGGTAGGGGAGACCGAAGAGGATTGATACGTTGTTTAAAAACATCCGAGATTTTTGTGACAAATATTTGGATATATCTTGAGAGACACCACCTTCTTAGAACTCTTAGAACCTATAACAATGTTACATGAATGTAAACATGCTATACGGAAGGGACTAATTCTTTGATGACTAACGGTTCATATAAACACAGGACCCCAAACGGTTCGTTACCGATCTACAGGGTGTTGGTTCAAGATTTTTTCTTTCTTTATATCTCCTGCAATTTTTGAGATATTTCACTCAAATTTTAAATATAAGTTACGCAAAAGGGTTTACATCACTGGTCATGACAATGATATTGGATGTTGTTTTTTCAGGGGTCATGCTCCATTTTCTTCCCCTGAACTTTTTTTCGGTGGGCCACTAGGAGATTGTGAAACAAGAGCTTGGCTTTCTTATTTTTAAAAAAACTTTATGGTCTCTTGTAATGTTTTCGTATCTGTGACCGTTATAGAGGAAAAAAAATAAAAAATCAAATTTCGGTAGTTAGCCAAATGAAAATAAAATTTTTAAAATGGTCCAGTACGCCATGGTTTGATTTGGCTTGTTTTTATTAGTTTTGACATTTGACATTGAAAATTGTGTCTTGTGTTGGGATATTTTTATAAATTAGAGGTTTCATAAATTGTAATGTGTACGGTAGACCTAGGTCTTTGCGCTTCCAGAAATGTAGGACCAGTGTCACAGTTTGTGTACCAAAGCATTTTTCACGATTTTGAACCAGCTTTTGCCTTTTATCGTCCAAAAAAAGATCAGTGTTCAGTATGTAACGCATTTAAAGAGGCCAAGGAAAAAGATCCCTTAAGAGAAGGGCATGAAAAGCATAAACGAGCTGAAAAACAGTCCATGGATATGAAAGAAATGGACAAAAGGATTGCATCAGCAGAGCTGGGAAAAACGTTTAGAACCATAACGTTTGATATGCAGGCTATTCTACCAGTGTCATTTGCTGGTGATTCTCAAATTATATTACAAAAGTCATCTGAATGTTTACAATTTTACAATTTACGATGGATCTACACGAGATGGCTATTGCTACGTCTGGGATGAAACTTATGGCAGTAAGAGTAGTTATGAGATAGGGTCCTGTCTTTTTAAATATTTAGTAAACCTACCCAAAATAGTAAACCACGTTACGTCCTTTTCGGATACGTGCGGAGGTCAAAACAGGAATAAAAACCAAAGGTTGTAAAAACGTTACCACAGCAATGCTCTATGCTGTCAATAAAATCGATCATCTTCTAACCATCGATCTAAAATTTATGGAATCAGGACATTCTTACTTGGAAGCGGACCCTATGCACTCTACAATCGAGAGGGCTCGGGCACATAAAAAATTTTTTTCACTACTAGCGTCTGATGACATGATCATTAACCTTTTTTCCACTTGTAAAGTAGGCTTTCTCGACATTTGTTCAAAGTGGTTAATAATGTGGACATTATTAACTAGTAGTCAATAATGAGAACTGTCACGCTGTCACTTTTAGAAAACACAACCCGAAATTTCGCTCAATGAACGTTTAGACAATTTCTCTAAAATGAATAATTTCCACCATCCGCCATTTCCAGAGAAATTACATACCTAAAATTATCACATTTTGAAAGAATTTGATAATATCTCAATGACAGAACAAAATACGGCCTGTTTGACTTGTACTTCTACGTACTTGATTGACATGTTAAATTAATAAACAAAAAATTCGGTCCAACCGTTCACTTTCATCAATATAATATGTTAATTTACAGCACTTCAAGTGCTAGTAGTGAAAAAAATAGTATATATACCACGGTAGAGAAGTCTATTATTGCCTTCGCACCTTACAACCCTCGGCGCAAGCGCCTCGAGATGTAATCTTGGTGCTCAGGCAATAATACTGTACTTCTCTACCTTGATATATAATTTACTATTATAGCACTAGGAAGTGGTGTCTAATAATATCAGATGCTAGGATAAAACCTAGACCCTATCAAGTTGTTCACTTAAAGAACTCGGATTTTTTTAATTTGCAGAATCTTGTTGATGACGTTATGACAAACAGTACTTTAAATTGTGTTGGGAATAAGGTTGAACGGAGTTCTGTTCAGCTTACATCTAAATATGCCAGTCGCATTCCTATTTCTGACAAAAAGAAGAGTGACCTTGTTTATTTACTTAATCAAGAGATTATTCCCGAAGAGTACACCGATTTTGTTACTAGCCTTCCTTCAACATATGATGACACGCAGCTAGCAGTACACAACGAGGGAGACTAATCTGCAATGCAAATATTTTTAAAGACGTTTTTTCTTGTTTAGTACCCTAAGGTAATATATACGTTTGGGTAACACATATGAGTTAAGTGGAGCCGATTTTCGAAAAATATTTTTTTTTTCAAGTAGATGTGACGATTCAAATTTTTTCTATTGTATTATCAAACAGTTGTGTACAGATTATACAAAAAAATATAAATCGTTGAAAAACAAAACTTATTTTAATTGATATTACGTTTTAAACTTTATTTTTGTAATTATGCAAATTGCCTATTTTTCACTTAGCATTTTTGCGCGCTAGACCAAAGATGTGAGATTTGCATTTTCTCTGTTGCAAAAATACAAAAATTAGCTTTGGTAAGTGGTACGTCGTTATTTAAATATGTTCTTTAGTACTTGAGTAGATAGATAGATATTGAAGTACCTATTATGTATGTTATATAGATGGAACTGTCCCGTTCGCTCAGCCCTCTAATATCTGCTTCTTCTTCATTGGATGATGACATAAATATAACCGAGCGCAGGAAACGGATACGAATAATGCACTACATGGATACAATTACTTCATATTCAGATGAAGAGTTAAAACAACATTTCCATTCCGCTTAAAAAGAGAAACAGCATTAAAATTAATTGGTATTCACACCTCTATTCCTTTTCCATACTTTATACTTGATCTTTTAGTTATATCGCCCCAGTATTAAAGCCTATAAAGGAGATGGAATCATATTACAGCCGAAAAAGCCATTTATATCATAATCTGGTATTTGTCTAATATGGAAACATTTCGTCAAATATCTGATTGGTTCGACGTGACTTTGAGTTGTGCAATCGTAGTACTTGACTTTTTTGTTAACAACAGTTCCAAATTTATAAAATGGCCATCATAGCAAGAAGCCAAAGAAGAGGCTTATTATTTTGAAAAAAAAGGTATCGCCAATGTTATAGGAGCAATTGATGGCCGCCATATAAAAATACATAGACCTGTTACTCACGAATAAGATTACGTGAATAGAAAAGGTTATCATAGCATAATATTACAGGGTGTGATCGATTCAAAAATGAAGTTCATAGATGTTTCAACTGGCCATCCTGGATCAGTCCACGATGCGAGAGTTCTTAGAAAAAGTTACATGTATAATGCAGCAGTTGAAAACTATCAGACTACGTTTTTTAGTACCGCCTATGTGGGCGATTCTGCGTATCCCTCAATAAGATGGCTTGTGGTTCCTTATAAGGATAATGGGCATCTTAATGATGAACAAAGGGATTATAACTACAGGCATTCTGTAACTAGGATTATAGTGGAGCATGCTTTTGGAGCATTGAAAGGAAAGTTTAGAAGATTAAGATATTTTGAAAATTTAAAGCCAACATTTATCATAAAATGTGTTGTTGTCGCATGTGTTCTGCACAAAATATGTTTAATGGATAATGACATTACCGAAAAAATCTATGATGACGAAATAAATGAGTAACTTTTATTAAATATCTTTAAAGCAACGTGTAATTCATAATATATACTGTAATAATCTATGTTTGTCCTTTGTAACTTTTCAAAAACTTCTTTCAATAATTCTGTCTTTGATTTTTCCACTTCCACTCAATCCCAAATTTTCATGCAAATCGTGCATTTTGAAAAAAAACTGCCAGGTTTACTATTTTAAGTTTCGTTTCCTGTAATATGTTCGTACCTCGACTTTTCATATATTTATTTTAAAACAGTATTATTACATGTTGTCTGGTCGCAGGTTGAAGATCTTCTGACGTCTAACTTAATTCTAAATCTCCAACCTACTTTTACACACATTCTTTTCTAGCACGCAATCATTCTGTCAGCATTCATACCCAATATAATAGTACTTAATATTACTTAAATTAGGTTGCAATATATACAGTGTGATTACCTTAATTTACACCTTACAAAACGCTCTGAAAAAAGGGAACAGGAGGCTCCAAAAAGAAACCCAGAAAGTCCCAGTCGTAAAAATGTTGGTTTTAAGATGAGAAAACGTAGATTCTCCTGTAATTGGCGGAAGCTTCAGAAAACTAAACTTCAATCTACAAAAGAACCCAAACATTTAAGAAAGTAGGTACCTAACCTTAAAATATAAAAGTCACATTTTCCATTGTTGCTTTTAATGATATGTCAGACTATCAGAGATACAATGAATCCATTAGTTAGGCGAACACATGGGTGCATGAAAGACGGTCAGACATATTTTATCGCAATGAACCTGTAGCAAAAAAAAATCAATTCAATAGAAAGTTAAAAATAAATCCGCTTTTATCTTTAATGTATACCTATTAATTCATGCATGATTGAATATGCATGTCGTCACCAAATTTAGTAAACGAACCAAAAATGACTTCGTGCCGTGACCAGGATTCGAACCTGGGTTACTACGGCCACAACGTAGGGTCCTAACCACTAGACGATCACGGCTACCGAAGTAGTGCACGGAGGTGTAAACTGCAGTTATTTGGCGTTCAATTTATAATGTATTGTAAATCAAGGCTGACCTACTTATATTGCTATACCTAGCTGTTAGTTTACTTTCCAATTTAATTACATTATGTATACGTTAGCCGCTTTCGTAATCGCTACTATTAATGGACGAAATGGTCTAATTTTGCCAAAAAAATGATAAACATTCTTTGTTGATTAAAATAAATTAAAAGTTATTAATATCCGCTATCTTCGTAATTCATCTATTACAAGTGCTTACGTTTAGCTAACATGATAGCGGTATTGATAATATGAGGAAACTCGCTAGTAATCGTATCATTAGTGTTAATTATTATACTTACACGTCAAAAAGTGTACACTTTTGCCGTGACCAGGATTCGAACCTGGGTTACTACGGCCACAACGTAGGGTCCTAACCACTAGACGATCACGGCTAAAGAGTGCTATGGAAGTGGCCCATCATGTAACAAACATGCAGTTTACATTCAGAGTTTTTAATTCTTATTTAATGTTTTCAGTTCTTCAACTTAAATGAAATTATGCACGATATTGGGCCCGTAAAAGCAAAATTGGGGTTGAAACGAGGGTTGAAAGAACATAACGCAATCGCCGGTCCTCTAGCTCTTAAGCTAATTTTTTTAATGCATTTTAGAGAACAATTTAGTAGTCTTCACTCGCATGTTTTTATTTGTGCTGTACTTGTAATGGGCTTTTTTATATAAAACTTAAGTAATTGAATCGTGTACGGTGACCTCTTTACAAAGTCCACCCACATTTCCACATATGAAAAATGTAATTGCCCAAATTTGATGCCTCAGTGTTTAATTCATAGCAAAACTAAACAAAATTAAAATTCCAATTTCGCGAGACCATTTTCAAAATTAAGTTGCGAAAGTAGCAGTTCACGTTTAAAATAGCTCGGTTTTACAACTTCTTTTCAATTTAACTGACAGTTAATTCCTATGGAGGTAAAAGTAATGAAATTATTATCATTATTATTATTACACAAATACTACGAGTGGACTTGATGGCAACTAAAAATACACAACAATGTAAAAGATTCAGGATTTTCAGTGTGATCTCAGTTGGCTTTAATTCCACCCCTGTTCCATACAACAAGTTTTGGACCTCGAAGAATCTGTGCGAAAAGAGGAGTGGGGGAGGGGGGTATTGCAATTCTTTTTGACAACTTTCTTGATATGTCAAAGAATAGAAAAATAGACTATTATTCTTTATTGATGACGTGTAAAAGGTACGGAACTTCCGATCGAATGGGAGTGAAGCGGCGTATGGAGCGAAGCAAGGAGGCACAAAACAATACAAATACACCGGACTCAAAGACGAAACTGAAAAATACGATGAAAAGTTATTTATTTATTTATTTATTTATTTATTTATTTATTTATTTATTTATTTATTTATTCATTTATTCATTCATTCATTCATTCATTCACACTCACTCACTCACTCCCTCACCTACTCACCCCTCCACCCACCCATTACCATTAAATAAGTAAAGTGTAGGAAAATGTTTTTGTTTATTTGCTCTTGATTTAATACATATGCTTGTTATCATAAATTTGAATTGGCAGGGCCTTGTGCAATAATGGTCTAAATGTGTTCATTCAATCACATTATTTGTTTGATTTATATGGGGGCGTAAATTATTTCTTGAGTTTGTTTTTGTTTTGCCATAATCTTTTATTAATTGGTAATTGATGATGTCTATGCTGAAAAATAGCATAATTGGTTTTCGAGCCAAAATAAAACGAGTAAACCTCTAAAGCCATTATGACTTGGCATGCGAATAAGAATGATTCTCTCAGATTCGGTAGAGCGCGATTTAGTGAGTGTCGTGAATGGCTCTTTTCAGAACTAACCTTTGTTCGAAAATGTTGGCTAGCCGTGCCAGCCTCACAAGGAGTTTCAAATGGTTTCGACTGGAGGCCATAGAACTAACGCTTCGAGATTGCTGTTTGCTTTGTTCTTGCTTAGTTTAAAAACCATATCTATTAATTGCAGAGACTTGCTATAACTAGACTGCGCTTAACGTATCTAAGGTGTTGTCGACACAGTATGCAACACACAATGCACCGCGGGGCAAAAATCGCTGAGATGATATGCAATACAATGAAATAAGCCGTTATTTTAGATGTTCCGTTCATTAATCATTCTCGTGATTAGCTCGAATTAGTGAACAGATAAATTTCTGTTGAGAATAAACCAATAAACTTAGGTTAAGTGCCTATCAACATGTACTCTGTCGATAAATTTTTAAATAATATGCTGATTTTCAACGGATAAAAGTTTAAAGGGCCAATGGATCAGAGCCATTCGAAGAGAAAAATTTACTCCCACCATAGTGCATTTGCGGGGAATGAAGCCGATTTTAGAAAGGTACCTACGAAGGTGTTAAAAAATAATGCAATACCGAGCGTTTTCGACTTTCCCATTCACTTAAAATAACGTAGAACTATTATTCGACATCCTTTACCAGCAAGACAACGGCAATACTATTTGCCTATTAGGTATAGACGTAACTAAGTACTTACTGGTACTAAGTATATTTCAGGTTTTGTTACAAGAAAAATAGCTAAGTCTGTTAAATGTTCCATATGTGCAGATGCGATATTCGCATCAGAGAGTCATTCAAAGCTTTTAACTAGAAAAAATCGTGGAGGATTGTTGCACGTATCAAGCGATGCATTAAAAATTTGCCAAATTGCGGAAAATGTGTTCAGGTTTTTCATTCAATCCACACCACACCGCGTTGTAAACAAAATGGTTATCAGCAGTCTAAGAAAAATAAATAACAGTTACAGCCCATTTGGGTTTTTGGATAAGCATATATTGAATCAAAATCCGCTAAATAATCATATCTTACTACTTGCATCTTTAGTTTTAAGAGTATATTTTCCCATACGTGTTCACCACCAAAATACACATATAAATCAAATTAGGACTAGTGTAAGGCAGTTATATACCAATTTAGTTCAAATAAAATACCAACAAATTCGATTAAAATAGTTAACAGCTATATGTTATCTTTTTTTGATACTAAAATTTAGAATAAACATGGCTAAAGCAAGCTGCAGAACGTACGTCTGCCCCGCGATGAACAGTTGGTTGCCTATCCTATCTTGACAACAGGCGTTTATAGTAAAATCTACGTTACGTCTTTGAATATAAAATTAGGAAGAAGTCTAGCCTAATGGGAACTTGTGGTTCCGTGACAATCGGTGGAGAGGTAAGGTGTACCTCTCCCACTTTTATAATAATATAATCGGTTTTAGAGCGAATTTATGCTCCGAATTGCGTTTGCACTGAAGATTTCAATACTGTAATCTTTTGTTGGTACGTATAATAGTCGCGCGCACTTTAAATGAAAACGCTGCCGATACCAATTGGGATACAAAAAATTTTATAGAACAAAAATTAGAGACAATTAAATTTACTATAAAAAAGTCCGCGACGGCATATATCTATCTTTAATCGTTTAGCCATATCAACCATTTAAAGTTGCGCATCTTGATTGCGTTGGCATTCATAGTATCTTTGATTGCTTATCATATATTAAGGGTTGAAGATACATATATGCCATTTTTTGTAGGAAATTAAATTCTCTACAATTTATCTTTTATAACTTTTTTTGTATCTCTTTTTGTTTTCTCAGCGTTTGTAAAAAAATGTACGCACATAGTAATTTTGAACATTTAATAAACTTTTTAGTTAAAAAAGAATCTGGCGTAGGTACGACGCGAACCCTTGACCTACATGTAGTTATAATTTCAGGTACTTTTGGGGGTTCCGGTTGGGATGATCGAAGCGTTGTAAAAATTGAAACTAATTTTATATTCAAAGGTTACGTGCGGTCTAGTTATAACAAGTCTCTGATTAATTGGTACTTTGACATGATCTTTGCGTAAATGTCAAATGTGATTATTTTTCGCAGCTCCTGAATTCTTGGCGGGCAACTGAGCTCTAAAATCTGACCACACCCCTATGTATTATTATTGAGAAACAGGTTA